GATCTTGGTTGACCCCTCCATCACAACATGTGTGAGGACCGTTGTATACTGTTAGTTTCCATCTGTTGTTTTTCCTCTTCCTATTCGATACGCGAACCATCTAATTGCATCCGTTTTCACGTCGGGCACAGTAGCATACATATTTTTTTGTCGTTAACCGGTCGACTCTTGATTGAACATAATTATGGATATTGTAATTTTTTAAAGCCATCATCGCTTCTTCTTTGCTTGAAAACTCCATGCCTAAAGATAAATCACCATTATTTATTAATGAGTAATATCCATAGTTACCGAGATGAGGCATATCCGTAAATTCTGGCTCTTACATTGCACCATAATCAGCTTCATACATGTGTGCTGGAGGGTCAGCTTGTGCAACATTTGAGGGAACTTCATCTACATCATCATCAGAGTTGAATTGCGGTGATTCTGGGTGAATGAATAGTCAAGTCTCAACACCATCCGCACCAGGCTCACGAAGTGATTCTTCTGGCGGATATGATGGTTCCTCCATGCTCTCTACATTTAGGTCGAAGAACCTACTACTTGCACGTCTTCCCCTTGAACTAGAAGGCATACCGATATTGAGATCGAAAAAGCTCGCAGTTGAATGCCTCCCTCTAGAGCTTGAAGCCATCGTGTCAAATGGAAACTGCACAGATTGTTGCATCGATGACATCTCCATATTAAGGTCAAAGAAATTTGCAGATGAATGTCTTCCCCTTGAACTGGACGTGATGTTGCCATACGGATTGTTAGTGGACCTACCTCGGTACATATCGTAAGGAGTTGCGGATGAATGTCTCCCCATTGAAGTTGATGTCACGACACCATGATGCGGATTTCCCATTATGACATTAAAATCATTACACATTACTATAGTCGGGCTGTCAACTTGATAAACTTGTTCAGCCAGCCCATAGTGAGAGCTAATGACTGACCCCAAACAGCACGCACTCGAACAAACTTTGCATACATCTCAATATCGGCGTCTGAATAATTACTTTGAGAATCAGCCATCATTTCAACATCATCATTGTTCGATAGTTCGAACGTTGTAGAAGTTAATGGCAACAATAATGGAAATCTGTACTGCAACGACGACATTCTTCTACTACTTCCAACATGAACCTTCCTCGAAATCTTCGTTATCAGCTCCTCAAGAGTTATGTTTCCCTTGAATGATATTTTAACATGCTCATTTGATACAAAAACAACGCCAGTTTCATCTTCTCGAATTTCTCCATCATAATAAACAATAGCTAAAAGTCGCACTATTCTTAGAGTTTAAAAGTGCGACAATATTATATCTGCAAAAAAACAACTGAAACAAACTTGCTTAAATAAATAATATATGAACGAAAGTATAACACAATAAAATTTACACATAAACATAAATAATTTAAATAATATAATTTTATATTATTACATGTACCGCAAAAATATTTCGACGTATGCTCCCGCTTTCCCCTTGAACTGGCACAAAAATTAATTGAAAACAATTAGTATAATATTTTTTTTTCAAATAATCATAATAAACAATAAGTATAATAAAAAATATTATAATAAAATTACTTTATAACGAAATATCGAACGAACTTCTGAATCAAATATAAGAGGATTGTTGGGTGTTATTTACTGGTTGAAAGGATTGTTATATTAATTTCTCGGTTGAGAGGGAATTGTGAGAGAGTTTACGGAGAGAGAGTTATTTATAGCCAAGAGAGGATGCTTTAAAGCCGAGAAGTTCGGGTAAATTATGCAAGACGCGGTCCCTGCACCGCGCCTTGCATTATGCATGTCTGATAATTGAGCATGTGATAATTGAAAAGCGCGGCCTCTGCCCCGTGCTATAGCCCCACATGGCGTAAGGCGTGCCCCAGGGGCCGCGCTTTAGACACGTGTGTCCATGTCAACATAAGACGCGCTGCAGGGGGCGCGCCTTACCCCACGTGGTACCAGATCACCGTAAAGCGTATTACAGGGGCGCATCTTACTGCAAAGGATGTTAGATCAAGAAAAATAGTCTAAATGGTACTTGACAGGAAAATATATAGGGTATAAGTGATATATCGAGAAAAGCGCCGAAAATGAGACTGCTTTTGAAAGATTAATATAGTTTTCAGTTGTAGAACTGCTGTTTAGTTTTCGATTATGTACATTTTCTTTATTTTTCATTCACATTAAGATCATGTTTGGATAATTAATAATAAAGAAAAAGAAAAGGTAAACTACACCAAAAGATTATTAATGTTTGAATAAATTTTTATTTTTTCACTAAAGTTTTAAAAATAATAAATTAATCACTAACGTTGTTGATTTATAACAAATCGGTCAATCTCCATTAACGGCTATTATTGTTGTAACGGAATGTTGATATAATGTGTTAAACCAACTGATTTAGTATGCTTGACTGATCATTTTACTTTTCTTTTTCTTCTGCCAGCACCATAAACCTGAGCAGGCGAGTATGAGGAAGCTCCTCCTCCTCTCCTACTCCTCCTCAACAAAAACCTGAGCAGGAATGTCTGGGGAATCTTAGAAGCTTTTGCATCTCGGCATCATATGCAGCACTCAGTTGACCTCCTCCTCCTCCTCCTCTTTCTTCTTCCACCACCACCACCGAAAACCTGGGAAGGCAAATCTGAAGAAGCATAGTTAGAAGCTTTTGCATCTCAGCCGCATATGCAGCACTAAGTTGACCTTCATCACCATGCTACAATATTGAAATCAATGAAAGCTGAAACATTTGCTTAGCTAGAAGTATAAAGAAATTTTGTATAAAAAGAATCAAAGCTTGTTTACGTAACGACGTTAATACTAATTGTTCTATAAATTTGAATCAGCCAGGCAAATAAGTAATAATTACTATTTTTGCAGAACATGGATTAGTTTGTAAAATGTGATTATGTGCAGAAGTTCTTGACAACCATTTGCCAAAAGATATGCAAAATCAAATTGCATGCTAGATTTTTTTACTCGATTACAAAGGTAAGGGAGAATGGAAACATACTTTATCAGTCAGATTAAGTGCTATAATTTCTCCATATCTTTGAAAAAGATCATTGAAATGGCGCTCCACAACTTGTGACTGGAGTGAGAGTTGAAGTGCAGAAACATTAAAATGTTAGCACCGTTTTCAGTGAAAATGAAAAAATAATAATAATTGCTGCATTTTCAAGCAAAAGTCCACCGTCTGTAAGAGGAGTTGTTAAAGGGAAGAAGAGTTATCATATTCATGGTTTCTTTTAAAGGGAAGAAGAGGAGCTGTTGAGCTCTGATTTTGGATATGAAGAAGAAGAGTCAAAATATCGGTCAAACATGCTGAGTCAACTGATTTAACGTGCCATGTCAGTATTCTGTTACTGCAGTAACGGCTGTTAACAGCGAGTGACCAAGTTGTTATAAATCGATAACTTTAGTGACCAATTTGTCACTTTTGAAACTTCAGTACAGAAAACGAAAGCTTACTCAAACATTAGTGATCATTTCTGTAGTTTACCCAAAAAGAACTTAAAAAATTAATACAATAATGGTCATCAAATGTAAAGTTCAAGTTTATATACCCGTCCTCTTGAATCTATTGCTAGAAGTTGGCATGTTCTTATTAATTTGAATATATCTGGACATGAAAAAAGATTATGATCGTGTTGAATGGCGATTTTTATATGGTGTTATGCAGAAAATGAGATCTGCAAATTCATGGATTAATCTTATTATGCCTTGTATTAGCTCAGTATCTTATTGTGTACGGATTAATGGAAATATTTCTGAGCGCTTTTGACCGGAGCGGAGACCAAGGCAAGGTGACCCCTTGTCTCCGTATTTGTTTCTATTTTGTACAAAAGGACACTCGACTATTCTTGATGCTGAACAACGAGGGAGTATTCGTGCTAATCGAAATGGACCAAGAATGAACCACCTTTTCTACGCGGATGATAGTTCGATCTTCATTAAAAGATCAGCGGCTGAAGCTGCTCGATTGAAAGAAATACTAATTATGAGGCTTGTTCGCTAAGTCTTTGATGCTTTTTAGTACTAATACAAGCGACACACATCCAAGACAACTCACTGATATTCTAGGTGTCCAAGATGAGATTGATTCGGATCAGTACTTGGTTATGCCTTTGGTAGTTGGAAAAAATAAGACTGAATCTGTTTCGCTATCTGCGGGATAGGGTGGCGAAGCGGGTTCGAGGTCGGACAAAAGAGTTGTTATGATATGGAGGGAGAGAGGTATTCTTAAAAGCGATGACCCAAGCGTCTCCTACATACATTATGACTTGTTATATGTTGCCCGAAGGTTCGATAGATGACATTATAGCAATTATGCGAGATTATTGGTGGTCCGGTAAACCTAATGAGAGAGGGTGGGCTCTAGTTGCATGGCAAAAAAATCTGTCAAGCTAAGAAGAATGAAGGACTTGGGTTTCGGGATTTAAAGATGTTAAACCTAGCTCTTTTGAGGAAACAAGTTTGGAGATTAATCCACGCGCCAAACTCATTGTGCTCCAAGGTATTGGCAGCAAAGTACTTCCCAAATTGCAGTGTTTTGAACGCAAAGTTAGGAGACAAGATCCAATCATCATGGTTGACCCATGTCGATTACAAGTGATTATCAATGAAGAATATTTTTTTTTTGGGTCTTATCCAAGAGTCGGATTAATATTTTACTTAAAATTAGAAGTCAAAATAATGTTTTATATAAAATTTATAAGTCAAATTAATATTCTATAAAAAATTCAAGAAGCAAATTAAAAATTATTCCTTTTCATTTACATACATTGATGATATAAAAAACTAGAGCGTTTTTCTTTTAAAATTTGATGAACAAAAGTATACGAATACGAAAAAGAAAGTAATCAATCCAATAATTAATTTACTCAACAATCAATGCTACCATAGTAACCATCCTCGCCCATCAATCAGAAATGCACAAGATGGGGCCATCTGAACGAGACTTCGTACTAAATATGAACCGCCTCAAGTTGGTAATGATTTTATAAATGTCACTTTACGTTACGCAGTTCAAAATTTTCACCCCGAAATGGGGTAGTAAGTTCATGTATTACAATTATAAAAAAAGGGTTCATGTATTACATAATTTCACAAATAGTACATAATCTAAGCTGGTCTTGGCTGTTTCTGAACTCAGTGCAGCATGGAACAAGGATCTCGTTCCGATGGACGTCCGGTACCTTAGCGTCTAAGCAGCGTTCCTATAACATGTCTTACAACAATGGTGGGGGGGGGCAATTGCAGCAAATAATATAAATAATTACCTATATTGCTTAAAATACACTGCACATCACTTCCCTACAGTCATGTAGATTACAAATGAGTTGAAGTTTAAGCCAATACAAGTTCCCCCTCTTCCTGCTCTTGTTGCTCGGGCAACCTTCCTTCTCGGTACGGGAGAAGAATGCACTTTATTTCTTCCGCGCTAAGTGTTTCATACTCCAAAAGTGCATTAGCTAATGCATGCAATGCCTTCTCTTGCTGGGAGAAAAATGGCGAAGTGTTGAACAATTTGTGGTGTGAAATTGATTACTAAGAAGTTATTTCACTTTTGCACTTGCAATTGAAACTTGAAACTTGAAACTAATGCCTAAGCTATGACTTTTATCTGAAAATTACTCCATGGATGCACAACTTTAGAAACAAATACTATGCAAACATATTCTCTGAAATCTTAGAAGCTAGGATCCTACCGTTTTCAGATTTCATTTTTAATTCCTTTTTATATAGTATAGTTGTTTATTCCTTGTCAATTAGAAAATTATGATACTAAGGAGTTTCACGAAAATACCTTCTTTAACAAAGCTTTCACCCGATCATATGCTTCTCTAAGAAGTTTTACCACCTGCAGAACAAATAAAACAGTTAAGATTGAAAAGATAACTGTGCTAACCAGAACTCCGGTTTGCAGAAACATACTTCAGCATCAATGCGAGACTGCATTTCTGAACTTGGCCGCTCTTTAATATGAACTGGTCCAATTGCATCACTCATCCCACAACTTGATACCTAGTAAAGACGTAAAAGTTACAGTCAATGAAAAATTCAAAAGGGATAAGAATTTTTTGATGATTAAGCGCAGCACATCATGCTCCATAGTTAACATTTTACTCACTTTTTGGTTTAACCCTTTCCCAATATCCCAAAAATAAATGGATTTGAATTGGTAGGAAAAAAAATATAGTAACAGTGAATTACAGATCCAAAACACAAAAACAAAAAAACTTTGAAATATACCATATATTGAGCAAGCTCTGTAGCTGTGTGCAGATCACTACTTGCCCCAGTTGTGATATGATCTTGGCCAAAGATGAGCTCTTCTGCAACTCTTCCTCCCATACAAACATCGAGACGAGCTAATAATTGCTTCTTACTAGTTGAAGTCTCATCACTTGAAGGCAGCTGCGTAACCATTCCGAGCGCAGATCCACGGGGCATGATTGTTGCCTTATGGATTGGATGTGCACCCTCAGTGTTGAAAGCAACAATTGCATGCCCACTCTCATGATAAGCTGTGAGCTGAAGTTATGTGTGATAATGTCAGGAAAAAAAGGATTAACCATTTTGGATGATGGTAAAAAGTTTATCTTGAGAATCTAGGGACCTAATTGGTAAACAGACTGTGCAAGAATAGAGCACCAAAATACTAAAAAAATGCTGCTAATTGGTAAACAATGGGTCATGTATCCACATGAGTACCATCAGAAAACAAATTACATTAAACATGAGCAATTGATGCAGGAGCATCCAAGATTAATTTAATACAAAATTTTGTCATTAGGATCAGTTTGTTTTAGTCTCATCTTGTGTTCTTTTTAATAGTTATGTGATTAGAATAGGACTCTTAGTAAGAGTTTTAGTAGAGTGAATATAGGAATGTTAGAGATTGTTTTATTATAAATACTATACTAGAGGGTTATTAGGGTATTATTATTATCATTATGAATTTTAATGAGGCTGGGAACTGGAAAATCCCAGAACCCTTTTCTTTTATCCTTCATTCAATTAGATTCATCATCTTTTTGTTTTTCAATTTCCATAGCTGTTTACTATTTCCACTCCATCAGCAAACTGTGCCCATTTATCTGCATACCCTAAATTGTTAAATGCAATTTGGCTGTCTTTGATATCATCATAATTGGCCCTTTATCTTTGCACGGATTACGGAGTTAAATGATTCAATACAGTCCAAGCAAACGATAACTAGAAGTTCAGCTTAAAGTGACTGATAAAAATGTAAATACCTTTTTTGATTCCTCTGTTAAAAACATTGCTTTGCGCTCGGTGCCCATGAGTATCCTGTCTTTAGCATATTCCAACTGTGTAGCAGTCAACTTATCTGCACCTTCAACTGCAGCTTTAATTGCAGCAATATTCACCAAGTTTGCTAGATCTGATTGACAGTATAGTAGGAAAAAGTTCATCAAAAATAAGAATATTTATTTGCAGGAAGTTGAAACATGTTGCACTTTTTGCAGGAAAACTTACCTGCACCATTGAATCCAGGAGTACCACGAGCAATTGCTTTAACATCTATATCATCACACTTTGGTTTATCTTGCAGATAGAGCTCCAATATCTCTTGACGACCTCTTACATCCGGATTAGGGACAACAATCTATAAATGGGATTTATAAGTAGTCTATATAAAAGAGAACAGAAGCTGGAAAAAAAAGCAAATACCCTATCATACAAGAATAACTATAGCTCTGGTATCAAAACAGAACAGTCAAGATTCAGATAAGGAGTAGCATATGAAACAATTATTTAAGTGAATACCGAGTCCTTGAGAAATCAAAAATTGTTTTCTGTAACACTTCAATTGCTCAAGTAACCACAAACCACAGCACATTTTCGGGTAAAGGGCAAAAACCTTCAGTACGTTGGTTGGGTTGTTGTTTTGTGTGTGATCTTCAGTTCCCCCAACAGTAATTTTCAACATAAAGTCCAAAAACACAAAGACTCAAGAAAGAACTAATGATTGGGGCACTTACATGCCTATCAAATCTACCAGGTCGGGTTAAAGCTGGATCAAGAATGTCTGGCAGATTAGTTGCTGCCATCAGAATTATTCCCTATGAGATAGACAGAGGTTAAACAAATTCAAAATTGCAAAGAAATTGTTATATTGCAAACTTGCTTAAATATACCTCATTCTGTTCAAAGCCATCCATTTCAACAAGCAGTTGATGTAGTGTTTTTTTGGTATGGCCTTCCCATTGTTTTCGTGTGGAACCAACAGCATCTATTTCATCAATAAAAATTATGCACGGGGCCTATAAAACATGAAATAATAATACGATAGTTAGACAGTGTGATAGACATGCTATTAAGCAATCACAGTAATTCACAGAACACGGCAATTAGGAATACCAACCTTTTTCTTAGCTGCTTGGAAAAGGGATCTCACGCGCCGAGCACCAACACCAACAAACCTGCCACAGATATAAATAATGTCAGACTCTGAACATAATTCTCAGTACTCACATTAAAGCATGTGGAAAGCCATAGAAAGTGCCACCAAGCAGAAGATAAAATGAGATGATGGTTTACATTTCCTCAAATTCAGACCCGGCTCTATAGAAGAAAGGTACCCCAGCTTCCCCAGCAATAGCCTTCAAGTTCAACAAATCAAATCTATCATTGTAAGTTAATACGGGTATATGCACATGCAACATGCTTCAAAGGAAATTGATAAGCCACTAACAGCAAAAAGCTTGTGTGGTGGTCAAGATGTAATGTGCAAAAACTCCCTGACATATGTTAGGGATCATTAGTGAGAATTAGAAGAAAAGTCTTACCTTGGCCAGCAAAGTTTTTCCAGTTCCAGGTGCTCCAGTCAAAAGGATTCCCTGCAATTTAGTTGTGCATAAGATGATAAAACCAGAAGAAAATCCAAAAAAACACTTTACACCAAAAATGAATGAATCATAGCGCACCAGTTTCAGCACTCATTATTCACATAAAATGCAAAATTACTCACCATGGACTAAACAATGGACAAAAAAATGTCTAAACTTGTTTTCTCTCTCCTCCAAAAGTATATATGTAGAATAGAACATAGAATCATCAGTCCATTCTCATGCTCACCCTATCACTGAGCTAGCGCTTAGATAATAGGACTACAGGTCAGTTCCTAATACATTGGTTCTTCGGGCACAGAAATCACTGTTATCTTTTTTATTCTATTTCTATCTTCTAGCATGCCCTTGAGAAATATAAAATTTAGATATCCGCAAGATATTTCACACACCATGCACAAACCTTTGGCAACTTCCCCCCCAGGCGGGTGAATTTTGATGGATTTTTGAGGTACTCCACTACTTCTTCAAGCTCTTGTTTTGCATCATCACAGCCTTTGACGTCCTTAAATGTTTTAACATTCTGCACATAAAGTAATTAATGTGGAAAATCAAAAGGTCTAGGTTTATCTATTAAATTTCCAATAAATAGCCCTGGCCCATCCATACCAAAACTAAAGTTGCATTTCACTTGCATGGTCTGCAAAACAGGTTCTTGATCAGCACTTATCTAATTAAGGATGAAAAGTTTACCAAATTATACTAGTTTCCCTTTAGTTCTGAATGCTTACCAAGTAAAATTTTCAGTCATTACCCAAAGTTTTCATCTTACTCAAATAGTTCAGTATAATCTACTTAAGTACTTAACTCATTCCACAATGTACTGTGAAAATAGAAATGCAGTTGCCAAATGAAATAAGATGTCGTAGTGCTGAAGCATTGAGTACTTGCCTTTTCTGGTATCACTTCTTTGTTCAAATCTTTGGGAGCATAAGAGGAACTTGATCCAACACCTGAAGTTCCTATTCCACCCAAGCTTCCTACATACTTCTGAAGTGCCGCAGCACCCATTATCCTGAGCATAGTTTTAAATGTTGAATTAAACTGCGGGTTAACAAGTCTGATTCAACAATGGAAAGGTATACTTCTCTGTGAGTGAGTGAGTGAGTGAGTGAGTGAGAGTATAACTACAATTCACAGAATCCATACCAAACCAATCCGACAGCGACAGTGAACAAGATAGTTGAAATAAGCTCTTGCATAAATCGTGATTTATTTGAAACTTTAGGATCAACCTAATAAAGAAAGCAGCATCACACTAACAATTAGTTGACAAGGTATTATAATGACTGAGAAGAATAACCAAGTTGTGTACAGGGTATAGACAGCGCAAAATGAATATGATGTGTATAAACTATATTGTAACCCATACAGAGCAATGAAATATAATGCCTTACCATCATCACATGCAACGGCTGCTTCTCTGAAATTCCAGGGTTTAAAAACGACTCATCGATGTTCCCTGATGCACGTTGCTTCAACTCTTGCAACTACATTTTAAATTCCAAAGGAACACTATTCTTGAGCCTTTTAGTGATATTAAAACATATATCAATATTGAAACATTTTCAAACATGAAACAAGTACTTATCTACCAATTCACAGCTCCAGCATAACTCAAATATGGAAAGGGATAATATTGGTTCAACCACTTATTAAAAATTTTATAGTAATGGGAAAAAATTGAATGAAATGCATAAAGAAAAAAAATCCATGAAGCGGGGCCTTGTTACCAAAGTAGGAAGACTAGAAGGCTTTCCAGACTGCTCATCCGGAAGGTATTCCGCAATGGCATTAGTGACTACCAGAGCTCGAAGATATTCAGCAACTCCTCTACTGTCTACCGCACGATCCCTTTCTTCAAATCGCTTAATCACAGACTCAGGACTGTTTAAAAACATTAAAATCAAATACAAAGAGATAGGAAAAGGAAACTGCTTTGAAATGAACCGACAACAGTAAAGTGAAACAAAAACCTGTGCTTATTAAGCTCAGCTAGCAAAGCGCTTTGTTTAGCGGCGTCTTTGGGATTGGCGTCGGCTTCGGCAATGAGGCGGTCAAGTCGTTTCTCCTGACGCCAAAATGGCCACCAATTCAACCAACCCAAAGCCAAAGCTCTGTCCATTCCGCTTCTAATCATTGCCCAAACTCCCATTAAAAACGCCACGGCAGGGATTTTGCTCTTGGGCCCTTCATTTCCCACCATTTTATCATTCACCCCATCGTTCTCCACCACATTCTCAGTTTTCCCGTCGATGTCATTCAGTTCAATTCCCTCGCTGCTATCCAAGGCGGAGGGAACTTCAGAATCCGAAACCAAAGCTTCGGGTTTGGAGGCTGAGCTGACGTTGTCGGCATGCAGCGTGCAAAGGATTGAAAAACGACCGGAATAAAAAGGGGAAGTGAGAAAAGAGGAGGGGCGCGAGAGCTTGGGGAAAGAAGAGAGATTGGAAGGGAGGGAAGAAAGGCGAAAGAGAGGCGTGGGAAGCGGGTTGCAGAGGAGGGAAGCTTGGAGAGAAAGGGTCATTGCTTAGGGTTTAATGGAAGGTGATTGAGTTTGAATTTGGCAAAGAGAAACCAGTTGAGAGCCACGAGATATTTGGCAGAAATGATTACATTGCAGAAGCCAACCAACGAACCAAGTGAAACCTTATCTCCATCCATATTGGCGCCGGCTTGTCACTTCACTTTTTGTGAAAAAAAAACAAGTTAGAAAAATTCAATATATAAAATTAAGTGAATAAATGAAAATTTTAAAAGTTAAATAAGTAAAATAGAAGAAAAAAATAAAATTTAATGATAAACTTTGTAGTTTACCCTTTTGTTGAAAGTATGCCCCAAGTCCTTGTATTTTTTTTTTTGCACAATAACAGAATTAGCCTTAAGTTTTACTAAAATAGTGATTTTGGTCTCTATTTCTTAGAACATCTTGGCCTCAATATTTCATTTTGGGAGAAAATACCCCTTTATAGATAGTACTTGTTAGTTAACAAAAGATTAATACTCCGAATTATACTTTTTTATCATAAAATAAAACGTTAGGGATAAAATAATCCAAAAATTAAATAAGGATTAAAATGACTATTCAGTTAAACATTATAGAACTTTTTATCTTAAAATAAATTGTTTAGGACAAAATGTTTCAAAAAAAAGAAAAAAAAAATCTATTTTAGTAAATGTTGAGGGCTAATTTTCCATTATGCCATCTTTACATTTAGAATTTAATTTTCTTCTTTTTATTTTAATATTTTTATCATTAATCAATATATGATCGAATTGACCCACTAATTTGAATTGATTGTTATTGTAACGTTATGAAATTCTGATATTTAAATTCGACCGATCAAATTAATAATTTTGATTTTTGATTAATTTCTTATTTTTATAATTAATGAAATGGTTTCCATATTAAGGCATTTTTACCCAAAAATTACCCTTACAATAAAATAATTATATGTCATGCACCGTTTCAGAAAATATTATCGATCTAGCACCATTTGCAGAAAGACACGGATGGTGATCCACGCCTTACTCTGATGTGGCACCACGTAGGCAAAGTTGCGAATGACCATATGTGCCTTATCCGAGCTGGCGTCACGTAAGGGTAAGACGCGGATCATCATCTGCACCTTTCTAGGGTTCTGACATGCGTTTGTAAGGCGCGGATGGTGATCCACACCTTTCATTATTGGTTCCGAATTTTTCGGCCTTTAAACTCTCCCCTCACTTATAAATAACACCCCCTCAACTGTAAACATCACCACATCAATTTCTCCTATATTTGCTTCACCAGTTCCTTTGATATTTTATTGTAAGGTAATTTTTTAATATATTATATTTATTTTATATATGATTATTTGAAAAAAAAAATTGTACAAATTATTTTATATATATATTTTTTGTGATTCTAAAATTGGAAAGTGGGATCATACGTCGAGACATTTTTTGATACGATAACAATATAAAATTATATTAATTAAATTATTATAAATATTTTTAATTTTTTTAATTTTTTATTAGGTTATATTTTAATTCATATACTATTTATTGAATTAGGCGTATTTTAGTTATTTTTTTTGCATATATAAGACTCTAAATCTTTCAAACTCTCAAAATGACACGTATTTCAGTAATTGTTTACTATGATGGAGAAATTCGGGAAGATCAAATCGGCATCGTGTTCGTATCAAATCATTCTGCCAAAATATCCTTCAAGAGAAACATAACTCTTGAGGAGTTGATAATGAAGATTTCAAGGAAGGTTCATGTTGGAAGTACTATAAGATTGTCTTCGCTTTAGTATAGATTTCCAACATCGGTGTTTCCTTTAACTTATACAACGTTCTAACTATCGAACGATGACGATTTTGCAATGATGGTTGCTTCTCAAAATCATTATTCAGACGTCGATACGGAGATGTATACCAAATTTGTTAAAGTGTGTACTGTTCGTGGAATGTCATTATGCTCCCACTATGGGCTGGCTCAACAAACTGATCAAGTTGACAGCCCAACTACAGTAATGTGTAATGATTTTAACGCTATAATGGGAAATCTGCATCATGGTGCCATCCCATCAAGTTCAATGGGGAGACATTCATCAGCAACTTCTTACAATCTGTATCGAGGTGGGTCCACAAACAATCTGTATGGTAACATCGAGTCCAGTTCAAGGGGAGGGCATTCATCTGCCAATTTCTTTGACCTGAATATAGAGATGCCCTTGACGCATCAATCACTGCAATACCCATTTGACACGATGCCTTCAAGCTCCAGGGGAGGCATTCAACTGTGAGCTTCTTCGACCTTAATGTCGAGATGCCTTCAAGTTAATGGGGAAGGCATACAACTACCAGCTTGTTCAACCTAAATGTCGACAGCATGGAGGAACCCTCATCTCTACCAGAAGAACCTCTTCGTGAGTCAGGTGCGGATGATACTGAGACTAAACTATTCGTTCACCCATAATTACCACAATTCAACATAGACTTCGATGATGATGATGTAGATGAAGTTCCCACAAATACGATACACACTGAACCTCTAGAACACATGTATGAAGCTGACTAGAGTAGAATGTCGGTGACTATGGATTTAACTCATCAGTCAATGATGGTGAGTTATAAGTGATGATGACAATTAAAAATTACAATATTCGTAATTATGTTCAGTTCATAGTTGATCGCTCTACCACCGAAAAGTATGTCTTCTACTGTGTCCAACGTGATAATGGATGCAATTGGATGGTTCGAGTATCGAAGAGGAAGAGGAAAATAATATATGGGAACTAACGATATACAACGGTCCTCACACATGTTATGCTGAAGGGATAAACTAGGATCAACCGAACTTGGACTTTGACATGATATACCAAGCCATCATGCCCCTGGTAAAAGCAAGCTCTCATATAGCTATTGATGTGTTGATTTCAGCTATATAATTGCAGTATGGGTATACCGTATCATACAGGAAAGCATGGAAGGCAAAGCAGAATGCCATTAAAAAACTTCACGGCGAATGGGATGCATCTTACAACAAACTACCAAGTTGGTTTAGGGTGGTGCACAGATTGAATTCTGGGATAATTATAGACTTCGAAACTTGTCATGCATACCACAATGATCAAGTGCTTCACGATCGATGCTAATTCTACCGATTTTTTTAGATTTACCCATAAAGCATTAATGTTGTGAAATACTGCAAGCTCGTGGTCCAAATCGACGGGACATTTTTATATGGAAAATGCAAGCAAGTTTCACTATTGGCAGTTGTCCAAGATGGTAATTGTAATATATTTCTAGTTGTTTTTGCCCTTGTTGAAAGAGAATATACAGATTCTTGGGCTTTTTTCCTCCGAAACTTACGCTTACATGTTAGCACGAGGTAAAAAATATGTATAATTTCAGATCGCGGAGCTGGGATCAAAGCAGCAATGTAGCCATTGGGTCCAATTTGGTAACAACCCTATGTCTAGCATTGGTATTGTATCTGACACATTACTGCAAACTATCATGGAAGGTTCAAGAAGAATGATAAGAAGAATGATGAGTGCTAATTACTTGTACGCTAGGTATGTCAAAATGCTATTTTTTTGTCAATCATTTTCATTTTTTATGGAAACAAAGTTATTTAGTTATACATTTGATGCTCAGGTTACGAACTACAACCTCAAATATTTGAGTTCATGCTTCAAGAGTTGCGAGGAAAAAACTATGAAGGATATGATTACATCAGCCTCATCAATAAAGAAATGTGGACAAATTCATATGATGGTAGATATCGATATGGACACATGACGACCAACTTGGCTGAGGCTATCAATTCAACTTTAAAGGGGACACATCATTTACTAGTAACGACTTTGGTAAAAATGACATTTTCGTTTGGGAACGCTTTTTGCCAAGCTCGGGGGACAAGCTCAAACTTTGATGCAAAACGGTCATGTCTATCACCCTAGATTAGTTACAGATCTACAAAAAAGAATTGTTGCATCAAATGGAATATTTGTAACAAACTTCTCTAGAACCCATGAAATGTTTCATGTCACAGAGATCCTGCGACCTTTTCAAGGGATTCAAGCTAACTCGTTTAGAGTTAATCTATGAGACAAATGGTGCGATTGTGGGTTTTTTTCAAGCTATGAAGTATCCATACTCTCATGTCATAGCAACTTGCTCGCATACCCATCAAGACTATAACCGTTTTATAGATCTCGTATACCTACTATCAGAAGTGTTGAAGGTATATAAATTTGAGTTCCCCCATAGGTAATGAGAAAGACCCTAATGAGGTTTAGAATTGGCTTCCGATTGTACCAGATCCGTCCTTATTGAGGGAGCCCGGTCATCCAAAATCCACTCGAATTCATTGTGATATGGATATTTGAGAAACGTCTATATAAAACAAAAGATGTAGACATTGTAGAAAACCAGGACACGGTAGGAAAAAATATTCATCTCTTTTGTCATCAAGTAACCGTTGATGTTATGCTTGATGTAGTTGTTGTTTAAGAAAGATAAGTTTCTGTAATTTAATTTTCATTTACTTTAAGTTAATATCATTTGATAATCACTGATTAATTAAACAAGAAAAAGATACAAGAAAAAGGATTAAAAAACAATAAATAATAAAACCATTCGCTTAAATTAAGTAATAAACAAAATAAATTAAGTAATATAAGGTAAATAATTAAAAAATACAATTGTTTGTAAATCAAAAAATTAAATACAAATACAATGAAATGTATGAATCTATCGATGTTTGCATCTTGAATATATTCCACAGGGCGGTGGTTGTCTGTCTCGAGGAGGATTTCTTTGTATAACTTGTTCTGGCTCCTCACTCTCATCATCATTATCATCATCATCATCACCACCACCATCATCATCATCGTCATCATCATCAGGAGCAGATACATTTTGTTGATGAGGGACGAATGACGATGTAGCACCTCCATAGAATAAGCACCATGGAGGTGTATGACTAATTATCCCACCGCTTAAAGAAAATTGGGAAAACTGAGAAAATACTAACATCGATGAGTAAGAAAACTATACAGGAGGTGTCTGTATGGCGGCCATCGGTGGTGAAACTGGACTCGCCAAATAGCCCGTATATAAACCCTAAGTTAGATATACAAA